TTACTGATGGTGGGGGCAGGTGACAGCTCCATCTGGGTGGCCTCCGCGTCGGCATTGGGCCTCCCCGGCCCCGAGTCCTCTTGCTCGGCCGGCACCAGCAGCTGGCGCGAGGCCTCGGTGCTGGGCTGCCCGGCGAGCTCCGGAGGCAGCTCCCCACCCACCGCTGCCGGCTGTGGGGTCTCCAGGGTGACCAGCGTCTGCTTGGGGCCGGCGGAGGGGCCCTCAGCAGCGGGCGGGGCGGCGGGGAAACCGTCAGTCCGGCCGGCCGCATCTGGGGCAGGGAGGGAGGGTGAGACGGGGCTTAGATGGGACACCCCACACCTAGGCCATGCCGGCCCCTCCTGCCTGGGCCCAGGCTCCCCCCGCCGCAGCTAGGAGAGAACCCAGGAGTCCTGGCTACTGGCCCACCAGGCTCCTCCTGCCGGTGAGGGCCCGGCGCTGGGGAAAGTAGTAAGTTGTATTGTTATCTCTGATTGGGGCACGAATCCCGACCCCACAACAATACAACGTACTACCTCATCCTGGCGGGGGCGGGGCCTTCACTGCGGGGGCCGGATCCACCCCCGGGGGCCTCCCACCGCCCCCCATCCGACACCCACATGCTGGGGGGGCTGGATCCGCCCCCCCATCTCACACACTCGCTGGGGGGGCCTGGATGCACCCCCAGGAGCCCTCTCGCCGCCCCACATCTCACACACGCGGCTCGGCACACTGCACAGACCTACAGAGACCCACGATTGTGGGAAAAGGCAGGACCCCCTGTGCTCCCACCAGCAGCCCCCACTCCCCTCCAAGAGCCATGAGAGAACCCAGGCATCCTGGCCCCCCATGCTCTATCCACTACACCCCCATTCCCCACCTGCTCCCAGCGCCAGGGAGAGAATCCAGGGATCCTGGCGCCCAGCCCCCCTGCTCTATCCGCTTGCTCCCCACTCCCCTCCCAGAGCCGGGAGAGAACCCAGGCGTCCTGGCTCCCAGCCCCCCCAGAGCTGGGGCAGACGGCGGTTGCTGGCTCCTGCTCGCAGTGCTGAGGGTGACCCCGCGGGAAAGACAGTAGACTGTATAGTTATCTCCGAGACCGGGTGTGACCCTAAAACTATACAATCTACTACCTCATCCCCCAGGGCCTCGGGGCGCTGCTGGGCCCGGCCTGGGACGGAGGGGCAAGTGGGGGTGATGGGCGGGGCAGTTACCTGAGAGACTCTGCTCGGTGGCGGTGTTAGGTGTGGGCACCGCCCCCTGGAAAGCAAAAGAGGGACAGGATGGAGTTAGGAGAGGGGCATGGTGCCTGCCCCCTCTAGGGGGCGCTGGCTATGATCCAGCCCAGGGCAGGGACTGGCTGGCTCAGGGGGCAGGGAATGGGGCCCGGGGCCTGTCCCCTCCAGGGGGCACTGGCTATGATTCAGCCCAGGGCGGGGTCAGGGAATGGGGCCCGGGGCCTGTCCCCTCTAGGGGACGTCAGCTCCCACCCAGCCATCACCGGGGCTGTAATGTGTCTGTGGGGTCTGAGCCCTGTGCCCCACCAGCCACGGGGGAAGGGCAGGGTTGGGGAGGGGTGTGGCCAGTTCTCCACTGGCCCTTTAAGCCTTCAAGGGCCAGGTGAGCTCAGCGGCAGCTCCCCACCTGGGCGCTCTGCTCCTTCCCGTCCTTCTCCTCCTTGGCTTTGTCCGTGGCTTTGGCCTCCTCCTCGGCCAGCTGCTTCCGGCGCTTCTCCCGGCGCTCCTCCAGCTCCTCGTCCCGCAGCGCCTCCAGGTGGTTAACGATGGGAACCTTCACCACTGCGGGGGGGAAGAGCCAGGGTTAGGGGGCTGGGCCGGCGAGGGGGCCGGGTGGGAGGGGCGCTGCGAGGCTCACCTGAGACGCAGTCATGCATGCTCTCCGCGTCCAGCACCTTGCACTCCTCGGTCCAGCGCGTCAGGGCGGTGGGGATGCTGGAGAGGGTCCCTGCGGAGGGAAGAGGCGGGATAAGGAGGCTGGCTCGGAGCCGGCGCCCCCCAAGGGCCAGGACCCCGGCCCCCCCGGCACTCGCCTGCCTGGCTGGTGGCCGTGCTCTGGTCGTGGAAGAAGTCGTCCAGCAGCTCGTCGTCGGAGCGGGCGATGATGTGGACGTCGTCGTTCCCCACCAGGAGGCGGGCGCGGCCCCGGCTCTGCAGCGGGAGGCTGCTGCTCAGCTGGAGGATGTCGGCTGCGGCCGAGGGACCCAGCAATCTGAGGGGAGGGGGTGCGGTTAGGGTACTTCCCTGGCGCCGAAATGCGGCCACCTCTGGGGCGGAGCAGGTGGGGAACAGCCGCACATAACACCGCACCGAGAGGGGGCCGGGGCCGCAGCCGGGCGGGAGCGAGAGTGTCTCACCTCTGCAGGATGAGGGGGGGGTTGGGCTGCCGCGTGCCGGGGTAGTGCACGTGGATCGTGTGGCCGGTGTTGGCCGTCAGCTGGCGCAGCGTCCGCTGGCTCCGCCCGATGCCCTGGGCCAGGCGGGTGGTGGAGGAGCCGCTGCCGAGGGTCAGGGAGCTGTGGTCTGCGTGCCGCACCATGAGCGGGTGAGTGGCCGGGATGTTTCCTGGGGAGGGGGGGATATCCGCTGGGCGGGGGGGGGAGGGAAGAGAGAGACAGGTTAGCAGCTCCCTGGGCTAGCCCTATCCAGGCTGGGCTAGCCCAGGGCCACAGAGACCCCGGGAGAGCAGCCATGCTGCCCACTGGGAGTGCCAAGGCACCATGGGGCTCAGGGATTGCCTGAGAACCTGGGGGCCTGGCCCCACCCAGCCCTGACCTCTGGGACGGAAAGCCTGGGGACCCCAGCGCTGAGCTGACCCCCCGCCCCCAGCCCTGCACTGCGGGCGCCCAGCGAGCCCCCCGCCCCCTTACTGGCGCTGGAGAACATGTTGTCGAACTCGATGATGAGGTCGTCCTCGCGGTCGAAGCGTTCGAAGCGCACCAGGGGCGAGGCGTTCATGTCGGGGTAATCCTCGTCCAGCTCCATCTCCGAGCCATCGTCGTCCTCCTCCTCCTCCTCCCCCTCCTCGCCTTCCTCGTCGTCCTGCCGGCACACAGCCTGCTTACAGCCGGCCTCCAGAGCCGGGAGAGGACCCAGGAGTCCTGGAGCCCAGCCCCCACTCGCCTCACCCCCAGAGCCGGGAGAGGACCCAGGAGTCCTGGAGCCCAGCCCCCACTCGCCTCACCCCCAGAGCCGGGAGAGGACCCAGGAGTCCTGGAGCCCAGCCCCCCCCCCCCGCTCCGCCT